AGGTTGATGGTAATTCCTTCGTTCTGTAATTCCAGACGCTGAGTGTACAGATGCGGCAATGGCGGAGCTCTCACAGGAACCGGTACCAGCACCTGCTGATCTGTGTCAGTGGTCGTTGAGCACGGCAGTAATAGCGATGCTGTCACGTTCATGTTTGTTGCCGGCTATTTGGGCTTACCTGAGGAATGATTCAGGTTTGTTTGCGAAAAATTTTGATTTTAGAACACGTTTCTTGTGTTGTTTCTGCGTAAATTTTATTACTTGTTGCTACTTGTTTTTTGGTTTTTGCCTCGTTTTGAATTAACTGGAAGTTGAAAAAAGTTGTTTAGTGCTGGATATATCGCAACATGTGGAAGTTTATGAAGCAGTAGTGCAAATTGTCGCTGCATTGGCGTTAAGTGCTCAGAGTGCCAGTGGTGAAGAAGAGATCGAAATCAGGGCGCTTCTGTCGGATCCGACATCCGACTGCTCGGTGCTTTCAATGCTTAAAAAACTGTTCGAATGTGTCTCTGCATACCTCACAAGAATCACAGTGGAATCGAATGAAGCTCGACTGCAGAAGTAGGCAACAAAATTTTTTTTTTTTCGATGTGACTTTTTTATATCGTATTTTTTTGTTCTGTTGTTTAAGTGATCCTTAGGGAGAAGAATGAGGGGGGGGGAGGGGGGAGGCGTCAGCATGCGTGGAAGTAATATGAGAAATCCATGGCTGACAAGCGAGTAGCAGTGCTGTTGAGAAACGAGCTTTTTTTTGATATAGTAATCGTTTCTGGGAAAATAAGGGGATTGGGCATGGCTTGCATCGAATGGAAAACGAAAGATGTTTGATTATTATATCTTGGCTAATGTTTGGCACATTCTCAAGGATCTTCTTTAGTGCTCTTAGAACGGGGCAAAAGGGGGGAGAATATCGGAAATTAAAATCATTCCAACTGCTGGCTAACTTCCCCCTTTTTTTTTCACTAAAATTAAATTGCATCAAAAAACACTCATATTCTTAAGCATAAGTAGTGATATGACTGCCGTTGTTGAAGTGTTACTGGTTAGGGTGCAGCGGCGGCTCATCCTGGTCAACCGTTTTTCACAGTAAACACTTAGAAAAATGCTTTTGCCTTTTGTTTCGTATAATAACTGGGAAAGTTTAACTGGCGGAATGCGACCCTATACGGATGATTCCCACCTGATTCTGCTGCCTGTGTTTAAAGCTCAGGAATGAAACACAGACAGGTTACCAAGTCACTGCTGTACATACAGGCTTGTTTATTTGGGAGATCTAAATGGCACTACTTCCACTGTGTTTTCATTAATTATCAAAATTCGACTGTGTTCCTCTCCACGGTGGGCGAACAACGCCAAACAAACAGCATATTTTAACATATATGCAGATTTCAGGCCTCCTTCCTCTTCCAGTCTCCTTGTCAGGAATATTCACTGTTTGTATCTTTAAAATTTCCACAACACTTTGTATCTTTTACGAATATTGTATTTCTTATCCACACTGTGTGATTATTCACGATTTCAGCTTAAATATTGAGCAGTCCAATGATAGCGATGATGTGGCGCTACAGACCCGAGAAGAGGGGCTCATGCGACTTGCGCCACTGATCACCGTCACCTGTTCACTTCTTTCCGAACGTACTTTCATCTTACATTTTCATTCTATGCACTTCACTTCGTTCGTAAATCATATAATATATATGTTCTAGTTTTTATTTTTTCCTTTTTGATATCAATGAATTCGATAGAATTTTGCGCATTCGCAGTGAACTTCTTATGCAGCTACCTTTCAGTGGTGAACGAATCACCTCAGAAGTCACAAGAGCACGAACAAGCTGCTGTTACGGAAGAAGAATTGTATATTAAAACAATGAAGGAGTTGCAGTTTGGTAAACTTTTTATTCGTTTTTTGTTTTTGCATGTAGTATCTTTACGGTTTTTGTTTTTTGACATGTAACGAAATCTCGAAAAATCTTGAAATCTTAAAAAAAATCTTGAAAAAAAAAACTAAAAACATATATTAGAATTCCCTTCCTATTTTGCCTTCTCTGGGAGGTTAAGGCGCTGGGACTTAGCCCAGCTGATAGCATCGCAGCAAACCACTAAAACTGATATGGCTTTTTGAATGAGTAGGGTGTGATATAACTTGGATTTAGAAAATCTTCCGAATACATTTTCTAACTAACTGTGTAACGTGAGGTAGCCGATTGGCCAATTAACTGAATAATTCGTGGTCAGTTAGTCATCAGCCTTCTTATCAGCAGGCACTTACGGGAGGTAATTTGCGACCAGTCGAAATAATAATTCCATGTGTTCCTAATTATATTAAAGAATGGGATATGGAATGATATTCTGACTTCTGGTTTTGAATTAATCGGTGGATATGCAGTTAGTGAGCGGATAAAATTCTGATCGATAAAACTTCAAATTTTCATATTCTCATTTTCTTGATTATTTCGTTATTTGGAGCTTTTGGCTGTGTTTTTCAGGTTACTTGATCATAGAATTCAATAGTCCTGTATAACGTACTAGTTCCCGTAATTTTCCAATTTTTTGGCTTGTTCAGTAATTTTATGGGGTTTGTTTGTTGTTTGCAGCGACAATAGCGTTCTTCTCCAAAGGGGCATATATACCATATCATTACGATGCATCTCTTTCACTGGCCGGCACG